CTTTCCATTGTGGAAACAGTTCAGGTTTCTCTAAGATTCTCCTCTTAAGTGAAGTGTACCATTTATCGGATATTTCGGCCTATATGTCTATCAACAAAATTTCTTGATCATCATCAGGCAAATCACTAGGAGGAATTCTAGACAAAAAATCAGGTAAGACATTTGAAGCTCCGGGCTTATGTATTAGTTCAAAATTATGTTGTCTGAGCTTCACAGCCCACCTAGCAGGTCTTCCACAAGGATCCTTGAGATTGTTGATCCACAAAAGGCTACTGTGGTCAGTGATTACTTTGAATTTTGTGCCTTCTACATAAGGTCGAAATTTATCTATCAAAAATATCAAACTGAGAAGTTCTCTTTCCGTCACAGTATAATTACGTTCTGCACGAGATAAGGAACGAGAAGCATAAGCTATAACTCTTTCTTGTGAATCAATATTCTGAGTCAAAACACCTCCAATACCAAAATCACTGGCATCACACTGTATAACAAAAGGTTGATCAAAGTCTGGTGAACTTAATATAGGAGACGATATCAAAGCATTTTTAACACGGATAAAAGCATCTTCCGCCTCTGGAGACCAAGTTATTGGTTGCCCCTTCTTTTTCCCTTTGAGGAGGCCTGAGATAGGTGCGATCAAACTCGAAAAATTTGCGATGAATCTTCTATACCATGAACACATTCCGATAAAACGTTTGATTTCAGTGCTGGTAGTAGGGCGAGAATAATTGACCATGACTGCTACTTTATCAGTATCTGTGCGGAGTCCTTCTCTATCAATAACATAACCAAGATACTTGAGGGATGTTTTAAAAAATTCACATTTTTCAATGTTTACTGTTAAATTTGCATTTTCTAAAATATTCTTTACCTAAGTGATACATGTTCATCAAAAGTTTTTGAAGTAATAATTATATCATCCAGATATGTGAAAATATGTGGTTCAAACTTAGGTCCAAATAGAGCGTCACAGAGCCTCTGCTGAGTCTGAGCACTATTACATAAGCCAAAGGGCATGACTGTGAATTGAAAAGATCCCCTACCAGGCACACTGAATGAAGTTTTCTCACGTGACGACACATCCAAAGGGATCTGCCAAAAAGCTTTGCGTAGATCAATACTTGAGATGTATTTTGCATCTCTGAGCAAATTCAAAATTCTGTCTATGCGAGGTAGTGGATAGCTATCGTGCTTAGTTACTTCATTGAGTTTTCTCCCGTCAAAACAAAATCTGTACTCACCGGATGACTTTTTTACTAAAAGGACTGGACTATTATAGGGACTCTGAGATGGTTCAACCACCTTCAACTTCAGCATGTCATCAAGTTCTCTATTCAAAATTTTCAACATAAATGGTGACATAAGGTACTGCTTAACTCGAAATGGCTTTGAATCACCAGTGTCAATTGTCATTTTAATTTTATCTGTAAGACCAATTCGACTTTCACTGCTAATTTCTTTAAAATGCTCTATAATTTGTTCTGCTTGAACACTCTCTGAAGGAGATAAATCTGACAAATTACTTGAATCTGAATTTTCAATCTCATTAACATGACTAGAGACAACCTGTATAGAATTATGCGTTACTGCACTATGCACATTCCAAATCCTATTTTTGAAGTCGATCTTGATCTTGAACTGATTGCAAAAATCGCTTCCAAAAATAATTGAGTGGGGCAGTGACGGCACTACTATAGTAGGAACAACCTGAACAATGTTATCTACACAAACTGGTAGATCAACAACACCCTTGACTTCCCGTTCAGTTCCATCAACTGTTGTCACATGTTTCAAAAAGGATTTATTCCATTTCAGATTAAGTTTTTTCAGTAAATCTACTGATTTTTGACCACAAACCGAAACATTGGCACCACTGTCCAAAAGACAAACTACTTTCTGATCAAAAATTTTTACCGAAATATATGGTCTGTTATCACGTGACTTCTGTACAAAAAGAGGTGCGACATTCAAATTTTTATGGAAAACATAATTTTTATAAAAATCTCTAACAGTCTTTTTCCAATCATTCCATTCCTTGGGATTGAAAAAATTTGATCTTGAAATTGGGTTGACTCTTTTAAATAATGGAGGGAAACAAGAGTCGTTATACTTCACCTCCCTTACTAGTTTCCCTGACATTTTGTACATTCCCTTGAAGTTACATCTGCACAACCGCATTTAAAACAAAATTTCTTAATGATATTGTCAGTAGCTCTACAGTTCCTAAAAGTATGGTTTGGTTGTAAACACCTCCAACATAATACTGATGAACTTGATGAATTTGCATTTGAACTAGTAACATTAACTTGTTTATTCGTACTGACATTTTTATTTGATTTCTTTATGTTGAAATTTCGCTTTCGAGGTTGAAAATTCCTCCGAAAATTTTGATTGTTAGTTGTAGAACTTGAAAGTGTATCTGAAAAATGTGTCAACTCAGGATCAATCATACATTGAAAAGGTTTCTGATACTGACGTGACTGTGAACCAGATGCCAAGCTAAGAATATCAGCTTCTTCAAGCTTTTTACAAAGTGTACTCAAGGTAGAAACACTATCAATATCACTAAGTGCAAGTCTTCTAAGGTATTCACCCTGTAGTCCCATTTTAATATATTTAACCTTTGTGAGCTCTGCGGCTCCACGACTGAGTCTACTGAATAAAGTTTCCATACAAGCTATGAAAATTACTACAGGTTCATTTCTTCCTTGTTTTCGTGATTTTATTTGGTTCCACACTTCATCATCAAAGTCTGACATCAAAAAATCCTTCTTCAATTTTATAACCAAAGTTTCCCAACTATTAACTTGTGTTCTGATTTTTCTGAACCAAAATGTAGCCTTACCACTGAATAAGTCACTAGCAGATTCAAAAAGTTCAGCTTTACTAACATGCCTTGCCTGAGCTACTTCTTCTATGCGTTCAATAAATGAAAGGAGATTTTTTGGTTCACCATCAAATTGAATATTCAATTTATAGACAGGAACTGACTTATGAGAATTCACAATTGTATCACTAAAGGTGTTAGCAGTAGTAGAAGCACTAGCTTGTGGTGTTAAAATAGTGACATTAACATCATCATCCTGAACATTCTCATTTAATTCAGCATCAAATTGCAGGGCTGTAGCATAAGCTTCATTCTTGAAATTCAATACGTCCCTATAATTTAAATCTTCCCGCTGTAACTTAATTCTGTTTATACGAAAACTGATATGATTTATTCTAGAGGTTGCTCTTTTGTAAACAGAATCTGATGAAGGACCTTCAAAACCTTCAATAAGTGATTTTATAGAATCTAAAGTGGACTGAATTTCTACTCGCTCTGTATCAAAGTTATAAGCTTCATCAACTAAAGTCATTACATTCGTACCACTTTGTTTTTCTTTAAACAGAAGTCTTCCGAGAATTTTACGTTTTTCATCTTGATTCCGTTCAGAAATTACACCTCGAATTCTCAACTCATAATTCAGTTCAGCCTGCAGCAAGTGATTAGCTTTAAAATTTTGATCCATTTTGAATCAGTTCAAAATCAAATATCAAAACTGTTGTTCCAACTTCTAAGGAAATTATTCAAATGTTGCAACACTGTACGTAGTATTGTCTGAAGCAAGAAGCAGTCAAATTGATTTAATTAAATATTAAATCACAAAACCGGATTCTCAAATATTATGAAACCTGATATGTGTATACTCACCATTCAGTTCATAAAAAACATAAATTTTTTACCTACCAAAACAAAATGTGGTAAAAACAACTCTCCTGGCTCTCCGTCAAACTATCAGCTGTTTTCAAACCATAAATATTTTATTCATTCATCAACAAGACACTCACAACTGTTGATTACTAATAACCTAACTAAAAACTCGGGCCCCACGTTGGGCGCCATCTTTGCAGCCCTACTTTTATGAAAAATAGGTGCATTGCGAACGGCAGCTCTTCGTCAGTAGGCACTATGAGTTCGAGTTATCAAAATGAGTTGAAATAGCAAAAATTCAGTTATCTAGCAATCATAAGGTTTAACAAAAAAGATGGGGCGCCACTGCAACTTTTAATTCAAATGAAATGTTACCTGGAAAGTTGAGCAACCAGATAATGAATAATATTAGTTGTTCTCCCAGACTAAAAGACCTAAATTCACCTTAGAGATGTTGTGAGTTGGAGTGTCATGTCAATAAACAAATAAAACAGTCATATACAATACCCAAAACATTTAATTATGATGATAGGACTCAAATATCACATCACATGGTTTTGACAAATATGCATAAATCAAAAGAATATTAGATACTTATTTCCTGTTAAGAAATTACACTGTTGCCTGCTATTATGTGGATGAAAATATATATAAATCAACTTTATATTGTACTTGAAAACTCAAGAGCTCCTGTAAGGACGTTTTATAGTCATAGCAGATTTAAAAAATATTGAAAATGGAAGAATTCTACCAGCGCATAGTATACTATGTGGAGGGGAAGTATATGTACCTTTCATGTGTGATTTCATCAATTTATGACCTGGCTATGATTTAAAAATGGTCCATTATACACACTAGCAATAGGCATTATGAGTGAATAAAAATGAAAAATAAAAATATATTTTTATGTCAAAAACCTGTATGGTGTGTCCTACACCAGTTATCCTTGATAAATGGCTTTAGTGCCACCAGATGAAGCTGCTGCGGAAAAGGTTGGCGGAGAGCGGGGTGCTGACTTCACATCCCTGGATGTCAGATGACATTGACAGAGTTGTCGTATTTCCACCTTGAAAATCCATCATATCAGGAACAAACAGGGGACGATATCCAGATTCCAGACTACCATACAGCAACTGAAGGCCTTGTAGAATTGACAGATCCTGGTCGAGCAATTATACTCCTGGGAAGAATAGTGCTCCTGGTAGAATAACTCACGTTGTAGAACTTCGAATAGAATAGAATAGAATCTTTATTGTTTACAGAAACACGTAGTTTCATAACAAGGAGTTCATACAGTTGGAGGCAGCAAAAACTTATGACTAATACAGATATACCACCGAATTGATGCAGTGGTGAAAAAGTAAATAATCACATGATAGATCCCAAAAGCGAGTAGGAAGAAAATAATAAGAACAAGAAACAAAAAAAAAGTATAAACCCTAAATCAGGCGCCCTCTTTCCTATTACGAACATATAGATACCTAATACAATACATGTAATTGCATTAAATCTAAGTGGACGAATAGCTATGTGGTAAAATCCTCGAATAAAGTATAGTCCATTATACATTCAGCCTAAAGCACATTGACTGAGCTTTCATTCGTTCATAATAAAGGATCTGAGCTTACAAATATTCCAAATGTGGGTACTCAGACTTTTTGCAGATGAGGGCGTAATATCATTGAAGAGGTTAACCAACCCGTTCAAATCAGAGAGAGGTAGGTCTGGAGGTTTCATCGTGACGTAGATCGGACAATCGAATAGGACATGATTGATTGTTTCATATTGATGTTGATTGCAGATGGTACATATTTCAGCAGGATTCATTCGATAGGTAGCTCTGTTATATGTGAATTTAATGGCGTATTTGCTAGCGAGTCTGAGTTGAGCCAGGGTTCGAGTAACCGAAATAGGGATTCTCATGTGTAGGTACTGTTGGGCACCAGTATTCATTTTGAAGTAGCTATAAAGGGTAAGGGAGCTTGAGGATCCATTCAATAGAGCCATATCATTTTCCCTTAGTTTCTCGAAGTATTTAGTGAACATTATTTTTTTGTTTCGCCTTAGGATACTGCTGTTCAACTCATTCAACGAGTAGGAGGAATCCGCGTACTCGAGTTGACATTTGAATTGTGAAGCCCAGTTATACCTGATGAGACAGGACGCATTTCCGTTGGCTAGATCAATTTGACGAAGGAGACATATTTTCGGAATGCGATGATCTTCCATCTCAAGTATCTTAATAAACCAATTCAAGGTGTGTTTGAAGATGATATAGCTTAATCTGACTCGGCCTGTCTCTATTCTGACTGCATAATCAGGTGTTGTAGTAGACAATTGCAAGAGCCGTTTGAAGAAGTTGAGTTGTACTCTCTCTAAGATTTCTGGATATCTAAGACCCCACACTGGTACACAGTTCAACAGCACACTTTGTACCAATGATTCAAATAGGTGAACCCGAGAATTCCAGCAATCTAATTAGGCAGAAGCCATAATGGGGAGTAATGCTCCTGTTGCTTGTTTTGCTTTTTCTGAGGTGATGTTGGCCATCTGTCGGAAAAATGAAGAACTCGTAAATGTGACTCCAAGGTAAGTGTATTGATTCGAAATTTCTATACGATTATTTTTATAAAAGAATGAGTAGGAATTGTTTTTGGAAGGACTTCTAGCAAAAGGAACGATTTTTGTTTTACTAGTATTGACTGTTAACATGTTCTTATCTGAGTATTCTTCAAGAATTTTCAATTTACGCGAGAGATCAATTTCTGAATCCGCTAAGATGACGAGGTCATCCGCGTAAAGAAGCATCATCAAATTATTTTTGTTATCAATGTTCAAACCTTCTGCTCCCTTTCCAGTGAAATATTCTTCTATGTCTGACATAAAAAGGGAAAATAGTAGAGGACTGAGCGACTCACCTTGTAGCACTCCTGTTGTGATGTCGAACTGCTTTGTGTACCCGTCAGCAGATTTGATGATAACTGTCGATGAGTTGTAGATATTTTTTAGTATAGAGATATATCTTGAGCTCAGGCCGGTATTGTACAGTTTGTGCCAAAGTAAGTTATGATTGATGGAGTCAAAGGCTCTTTTGTAATCAACACAACACAAAGAAAATACATTGTCTATACATCCTCGCGTTTTTCGAAATCCCGATTGACATTCAGGGATTATACGTGTTTCTTCAGACCACGTGATCAGCCTATTTAGCAAAACTTGGGTGAAAATTTTTGCTATACAGTTAATTAATGCAATGCCTCTATAGTTCTCAGGATCGTCTATGGGCCCTTTTTTGTGGATCATTTTTAGCACTATTTCGCCCCAATTGCAAGGAGTGACTTGTGATTCGAACATTTTATTGAACATATTTGTCGGATATAGAACCCAGTTATTCGGTAAATATTTATAAAACTCGTAAGGTATTTTATCTGCTCCTGGAGACTTGTTAAATTGGCATTTATTGAGTACTGCATAGATTTCGAAGGTGGTGAAAGGTTCGTCAAGAAAAGGGTTTCTAACATCAAAGAATATTGTGTTGTCAATGATCCGCGGCTGAGTAATGTTTTCATAAAAAAATTCCCACACTCTTAGTGGTAGGTTAACTTGTGGATTTTTACTCCGGAATTGTTTAAGAGTGGACCAAAAAGTTTTTGCATCTTTGCTGTTCGCTAGTGTATCAACAAGTTTCTGATTGTGAGCCCATTTTTTTAGTTTGATTGTTTTTTTGTACTCTTTTTTACTGTGTAGAAATGTTTCCCTAAATTCTGTCGAGAAATTGTATTTTCTGTAGTTTTTCAAATTGATCTTTACCTGCAGTTTCATGTGGTAGCACTCTTCGTCAAACCAGGGTTGTTTACACCTACGGTTAGATTTCACAGTTTTGATTAATTTCATATCAGTGGCAGTCTCAATAATTGCACTCAAAAAGTTATCATAGCATAAATGGATATCATCACTATGCATCGCCCTACGAGAATGTTGCATTTTTAATTTATAGTCGAGCGCACAGTTCTCTACCCACCTGAAAATACATTGGGAGATTCCTGTAGTGACCTTTTCAGTAGTATCGGAGTCTACGTCGGAGTTGACATGTATCGAAACGGGAAAATGGTCTGAAGTATGAATTTCATTCTGTACAAAAAAAAGTTTTAAACAGGGTAGATGCGGATTGCTCAACCAGACGAGGTCAATTACACTGCTTCCTTGGTAACCAATATGAGTAAATTGGCCAGGTCTATCATTAGCAGTCCTACCATTAAGTAATGTGAACGAGTTGTCGCACATGAATTCATTGATAGTACGCCCTCTCGTATTCAAAACAGAATCATGACTCAGTCGGTGCTCGAATAAGCTAACATTCTCTAACAAATCTTCAGGCATTATTCCCACATTGGCAACCCTGCAGTTAAAGTCTCCTCCTATTATCATTGGATATGACATATAAGTTTCAGATATTTGAGAAAGGGAAGTTTGAAACATTTCTAAGATAATGTTCAGCTGAAAGGAAGGTTTGAAATATACTGAGCAAACAATTGAATTCGTGGTTCCAAGAGTAAGTAAGCAGAAGATCCAATGGAGAGATTTGTCAAGGACACTAATGTTGAAATGTTTTTTATAGAAAATACTCAGTCCTCCACTGGCTCTTCCTACTGACTTTTCTCTCAGAGCTGGAGAACTCACAACATTGAAGGCCGACAAAAAATTTGGTGTTTCAGTGAGCTCGTAGGATACCCATGTTTCACAAATACATAAAACAGAATAGTCACTTTGTTCTGTAACATAATCACGCAAGTTATTGAGTCCCTGACAGTTCCAAAATGTTATATTTATTGATTGCTATTTTTCAGAGTTAGTTGTTACTTGCTTTGTTACTTTGATACCATCTGATCGTTTGGGCGAGTCGTCATTTTCCCTGGTTCTCTTTGAAGTAGTTGGATTATCAGTTGACACAATTTTGGGCACACTTTTAACATATTTTATTGTGAGGTTTCTTTCTCCATTCGCTGTTCTCCTTTGTAGTTCTTTCCTCAGGTTGTCCAAATGTGTGGACTGGGAAGGCGTTAAATCGGCTCTAATGCCTATGTCAGGAAACATATTACGACATAATTTATTCCTGTTTTTCAATATCTGAATGGCGTCTTCAGTAGAGCTTAGAGATATCTTGAGTGGGTTCGGTTTCTCGTCGGTGCGTGGTTTTCCTATGCGATAGCAGCTAACAATTGTAATTCCAGGGGATAAATGCTGAACTATGGCATTGGCTAACTGAATATCGCTTTCCCGTTTTCCGTCATCCGGTGCACCCAGGATTAATATATTCTTTCCCCTTCTGATGCGTTCCAAAAGTTCTCTTTGGGTTTCTTCATTAGGTATTGAGTTCACAGATACTTTGTTTTCGAGTTCCGATATTTTAGAACGAAGTTTTTCATTATCATTTCGCAAGGTCGTGATGTCGGTAACACAGTTATTAATAATTTGCGACTGTGAGTTCATTTGGATTTTGAGTTCTTCAATTTGACCATTGCACGTTGCCATGGACTCAGTAATTACAGAAAGCTGTTGCATAATTGCATTGAATCTCTGAGTTTCTGAGTCATTTTTGGCAATCGGCCTCCTTGCAGCATTATCGTCGCAGGTTTCACATAACCAGTTGACCATCGTATGCTCATTCATATCAGGAGGTTGGGGGCGCGCACATACACCGTGCCATCGGGTTTGGCATCCAGAGCACCTTAGCACGCCTCTGTCTGCTGGATCGATCATTCTGTAGCATGCCTGACACTTGATCATTTTATTTTTATTGTATTCAGTACGGCGCACAGATATACACACAAATTTTTTACCCGGTAGAGAAATAAAAAAACACTGAACAGTAAAAATCCGATTGAAGAAGCGTATAGAGATATGCACGTGTTGACTCTGCGACGGCTAAAACTGAACTCCAACGTTGTAGAACTTCCAGTAAAGAACTCCCGGTAGAAAACTCCCGGTGAAAAAACCCTTAAATATTTCATGAAAATGAGGTTCTGAATTTCTGGACTGCAGAGAGAAAAAACGTAATAATGCGAGACTCACCTTCTATGAAGGGTTAGGGATTGAAATGACGATGAAGGTAGGCACGTGGCTGCCTGGGTGATGAACCATGAAGATCCTGCCTCTTGAACCAAAACCAGAAGAAATCTGTAGAGTCCAGCAGTCCTTGTAGATCAGCAGCAAATCCAGGATATACTGATGTGATCCAGAACGCCAGGCGGTACAGGACTTCAGAAGCCGGTTCACACCACAAAAATGGCACCTGACCACCACGAAGAATTTCCTGAAGTGAGCTCTTGTCTCACGACCAGAAAGGAAATCCCTTCTCCAAATTTCCAGAAACTTCGAGAACAACTTAACAGTTTCCGCTTTTCAAATTGGCGGAAAATTCGAATATCCAAAATAAAAGACGTTATCGCTACTCCCTCCAGACACTTGATTCTTCCCAGATGACTATCTGAACCAATCAGAATTGACGACTAAAATGACGTCACACCTTTCTTCACAAATACTCGTCTTGTTGGTTCGACGATGATGATCTAAGGACATATCAATTCGAATCGACGTTTGGCGCATGACAAGTTTGACACTGTTGACATGGTGTCATGACCGACAGCTTATTGACGTAAGGCGAAATAACAGATCAACAAAATCAAAACATCAACCTGAATTTATCAAATGCATCAATCAAGAAAATAATGCCAAACGAAGTTAATTGATTCACCATGGTCGATTCCTAGTGAAACCATCCGCATCAGCGTTCCTGGAAAATCCAATACCTATTGTCCTACTGTGATGAAGTTTCAAGTGGAAATAGCAGTGTGAAAAGTGAGTATGAGAATGTCTCTGAAATGGTATTTCATATTACTTTATATTATTTATCTCTTTCAGATAAGTTTCTGTAAAAACCATCTGAATCATCCTTCTACTTGGATCACAACAAAGCAGATATAGCAAGAGATATCAATGTATTTATAGAAATTGTATTTTTATTTTATGTACAGTGTGAAATCTCAGGTGTGTATCCACATATCAGGTTTGAGAATAATTAAATAATATAAAACAGATTGAGTTCAATTTATGTTAATGAAAAATGTAAACCATGAAATTGTGAAAAAATATCCTGTCAGATGTGCTCAGCAGCACAGAATAGTATAGAATCAGACCAAATATACAGTAGTGAATATTTACATGCTACAATATCTGTGGGATATTCTCTAAATATGCGAATGGAAATTCCTCAGATATTCATAGAATATATCCAAAAGAATATGCTATGTTGAATTATCCTGGAATATTCCAATAAACATATTCTAAAATAAAAAAAGTGACCCAAGTAGGGATCGAACTTGTGACCTCAAGACTATCAGAGCAACGCCTTGAACACTAGGCCAGTAATCGAATTGAATAATGTTGTACATATCAATTTCTTGTGAGAGCGTTGTTCGAAATCGGATCATGAACACTTTTTGTTTCAAAATCCCCTAACATATGATTAATGTTCGATACTTACTCACATCTCTGAAATAATGATTGGTATTCATGTGCTGAGAAACATAGGAATATTCATGGAAATTTTCATGAATATACAACACAGAATATTCAGTTGAGAATATTTCATGAATATACCGCAAAGAATATTCAGTTGAGAATATTTCATGAATATACCCCACAGAACATTCAGTTGGGAATATTTCATAAATATACAAGAGAGAATATTCATTTGGGAATATTCCTGGAAAATTCATACCTGAATATTCTCTGAACATATTGTCCGACTATTCACTTTGGAATATTCCTCTTAGATGTTCCAGAGGCATGTATATATTCTAGGAATAATCGATGAATATTCGGAATATATACTCCTCCTTTTTAGCATATTTAGAGAATATTCTAGGAATATCCAGTGCTGTCTGGGTGGTGAATGTGTTATGGAAATTTCGAGACAGGCAAATAATAGAAATAGATTCCAATACTTTTTTGAAACTAGGCATGTATCAGATGTATTGATGGCTTCTAAATATCTGAATGATGAAACATATGAGGGAAACTGTCATCATTTTACCGATTGTTGAGCTCGAAAAAATCGTCAAAACAAAATGTAAAACTGAGACAGGGAGTCACACGTGAATATGGTGAATCATGTTGATTTCTGGAATTTCAAATGGCCCTATAACAGAAACCTGATTGAAATCAGGAGAAGGGTCTTCTCCAGCGGTCCGTATCACCCCTATCACGGTCCGCATGTTGTAGTGATGTTGGCAATATAGGTGACTTCGATGATGAAGATCTGCGCTGAACTGCTGAGCCAAGTGCTGTAGCCCCTTCTCCTAGGTATTTCTCCTGGCGTGCTTACAGTCAATCCTGAAGTCTAGTTTTGGAGCAAAAGAAGTCACCCAAATAATCCACAGGGCTGGGTTCTGCAGTCTCTCCTCCAGGGTATTTCTTCCGGCGTGACGACAGCATGCTTATCAGTAGATAAGCTGCAGCGCAGAGGAACGGGCAAGAGGGACTCTCTCTGATCCGGTGTACTGGGTTCCGTAGCCCCTCGCCCTTGGTATTCCTCCCGGCGTGCCAACGAAACGCAGTTCAGGAGATCAGTGGCAGGTCGAACATCCTAGCATCTGTGGAGGAGGGTTGAAGGAGTGCAAAAAAACATCTCGGTTGGGACTCGTGGCACGACTCCCAGGCGGCTCCAAAGCAGCGTAGACCCATCGAGCTCTCAAATCTAAGTTGGTGACAGTGATTACGCCTTGCGTTGAGAACGTTGAGGAAAGCTTGATATTTCACCTGATTTTTATCGAGTGATCAAAAATATCACTACCACACTTAATAGCTCGCGTCTTTTATCATGACTTGTGACGGGTGTTTTTCACACAATCACATTAAATTTATCATAACAGATATGAATGACGAAAATATGATTGACGTATTGACTGAGGTACGTAATCGTTGGCCAGAGTGATAGTCGGTTTGCTCAGTAGAGTGGAAAACAAAATTGACTAACTGGAATATACAGTAAATTTGAGGAAGCCACCCGTTTCGATTCTACTCCCACTCTCTGTTGCCAAGGAGATATATCAAAACGGGACGACAATGCAGATGAACGACATTATGATACCAAAATTCAATAATAATTATTATGGAACATAATGATATATCGATAATAGTGGCGAAATTCGTCTATAAAAATTATAGTATTGTTTGAATTATGACACAACAAAATATATGATTCAAATAATTTTCTCCCTATTCGACTTTGAATCTGACTCCTGAAGGTGTTGAATTATGTAAAATATTCTCAACTTCATGTTGTTGATCCAGTTTGACTCCCCAGTGATCGATCTTGATTTGAAAAATAAAGACAAATATCCTCTTATCAGGTGTCAGCAACTACTAACATGCATATTTGCCTTTGCATCGCACAACATTCAATACCATCAACTCATCAAGGACTTTCTTAGACTTATTAATGGTGAATTATACTTCATTTTAGTGTTCCTATTTCAATTCTGGACTCGAAAGGATTTCATGGGAATTAACTAACAGAGTGAGTGGTTCACCCTATGAGAAAATGACATGTAACAGACTGCCCAAATAGAAATCTTCAAGAACCAGAAGTCCTTCGAAATCCACTATATCCTCACCCTTATCACCGATTGCTCACGAAACGACAGGAATCTGAGAGACAATACTTTTCTCGCATCCTAGTCGAGATGAGGGCTGAGAATCAGTAGTTCAAATAAACTTGATCGAAACAAGAACCAAAGATAGATGAATTCCTCATTCTCCTCTTTTGCTTCCGAAAGTCCATGATGTGAATAACAACAACAACTAAGGTTGATGATTGCCTCGATTTTTTTTTCTTGGCGAGTCACGCAGACTATAGATGTTCACGACGATTGGAGCATCACGCTAGAACAAGAAGATGACATACCTAATCAACAAAAGAATCCTAGGAAATTGAAGAAAACAAATAATTTCGAACGACTACATCTGAAATTGTGAGAACCCTTGAGTCCCTGACACCAACACTTCATGGGACACCACAGGTGAGTCAACTGTTCTACCTCAGGACAAAACAAAAAGTTGGTCTCTAATAATTATCTTCACCAATTTTGAGGATCTGCTCATTGGATCAGAGAACAAAGCCAAAGCTAAAATCATCACTTCCTGCAGGTATGCTGAGCCTCTGGAAACATAATCTGAATACTCAATATCTCAACTGAAATCAGCTGTATGTGTTTTTTAAAAAAGCTAACGATCTGATCCACCAAACACTATCCAATGATTGAGTGGAAGAAGGGGAAGAATAAGAAAGGTAATACAATTGATTTATTGTTGCAATTTCAAATGCTACGAATTATTGAAGATATTTGTTTTCTTCGTGAGCAATAATTTTTTGAGTCTCATCCGTTATCATGCTAGGCTATGAAGAAGACGTATCCTGAAATATCGCATATCATGATTTAGATCTTTCGTGGTTCTATGTCCCAAAACGGAAGGTGTTGAAAATCATGAGTTTAATAATTCATTCTTGCCACTCAAATTGTTACTCACAATATTTTTATCCAGTTTGGAAGCGGACAGAAATTTATTCACGTAACTTATATGCACCATAAAACTTGAGAGCTTATGATTAATTACTTTATTCGGCCATTACTGAATCCATCAAGGGTTGAAATGATTTGAATGGCTTTAATCCAAGTTTCGATATCGCTCTTAATATT